GAGGACCACACACAGTCTGGCTTGTTTTTTTGAGTGTCTTCAAATTACAGCCATCGTTGTGAGTATGAAGGTGGTAGGTATCTCAGTGACTAATGATGTTAGGGAGCATCTTATGATGTGCTTATTGGCCATTTATATATCTTTGGAGAAATGTCTATTCAAATTCTTTGCTCATTTTTAAATTAGGTTATTTACCTTTTGTGTTTTTTGTGTTCGTTTTTGAAACATGGTCTCACTTTGTTGTCCTGGCTGGAGTGCAGTGGCCAAGGCTTATTGTAGCCTCGACCTCCCAGGCTCAAGTGTCTTCCCGCCTCGGCCTCCCAAAGTGTTGGGATTGCAAACATAAGCCACCACGCCCAGCCTATTTGACTTTTTATCGTTGGGTTGTAAGGTTCTGTATGTATTCTGGGTACTATACTATTAACAGATATAGCTGCATCCTTTTGACATGCCCCCATTCATCTTTGAGCATTTTCTTACTTTCTGGCACAAAAAGATGTTCCAGGCTCATCTCGCATTTCCCCTGCCTTTGACCTGGAATCAGCCATTTTTCCAAGGAGCTCTTTTAATGAGAGATTGGTTTTTGGAAACCAAGATCTGGACTATAGGCATACTTAATTTTGCTGAGTGCTATAACTTGTAGGCCTTTTAAGTGGACATACCATATCTACTTTTTCACTTAACATTGCCTGTAAGTTGGTTTATATTAGTTCATGGAGATGTTTATTCTTGTTTATGGCTACATAGTACTCAATTGTGTAATGTACCATGTTTATTCAACCAGTCTCCTGTAGATGGGCATTTAGGATGTTTGCAGTCTTGTATTATTACATCTAATGCTGCAGTGAATAATCTTGTGCATATCTTGTTTTTTATTTGTGGAGATGTGGATTCAGGGTAAATTCCTAGCAGTGGGCTCACCTACTCAAAAGGTAAATGCGCATCTGTAGTTGTTAGATATTCTCAAAATCCCTTCCATGAAGGTCACACCAGTCTGCATGCCTGTCAGCACTTGCACAGATTATTAATTCATTGTTATATTTTGCTTAAAATTGAGTTAGGAAGTTTGGTGAATAAATGTTTTGGGGATTTTTTTTTTTTTAAAGATATTTCCTGGTCATATGTGCCATATTTTCTCTATGGTCCATACCACAGAATTTGCTTGTTCCTAAATTATGCCTGTGTTTATTCACATTCATTTATGCTAAATTGTTTTCCAAATAGTTTTATAAATTTACCTCCCACACCAGCAGTAAGAGTTTTCATCTTAGCCAACACTGTAATCAACGTTTTTCATTTTCCGAATTTGGTAAGTTTGAAATTGTAACTTGTTTTATTTTCTATTTTGTATTTCCTTGATTAATAATGAGGATAAATATATTTCCAAATGCATGTTAAACATTCTTGTTTCATTTTCTGTGAATAGTCTGTTCATGTCTTTTGCCCATTTTCCTATGGGTTATCTGTAGTTTTATTATTAGGAGTCCATTTAGATATTCTATATATTAATCTCTTGCCAATCATATGTGCTACAAATACCTTCTCTGAGTTTGCCACTGTTTCTTACCCTGTTTATGGTATCTCTTTCCAAGGTTTAAACTTTTTATTATAGAAAAACTTGAAATACACACAAAACAGAAAGCATAGTATAATATTAGCTTTGCATTCTTTACCCTGCTTCAAAAGTCATGAACTTATGGCCAATCTTCTTTTTTCTATACCTGCGACTTCTTCACCTTATGTTGAAACAAATCCCATTAGTAATATAACTTCATCAACAAAATTCAATATATTTCTATGAAATATAGGGATTTTCCTTTTTAAACATAATCACAGTGGCATTACCGTACTTGAAAATTTAACAGTATTAGATACATTGCATTCAATGTTCACATTTTCCATATATATATATATATATATATATATATATATATATTCATAAGTTTGTTTGAATCAGGTCCAAATACAGCACATACATCATGATAGGTTGATATGTCTTTTGAAAGGGTGTCCATGCATCCCAAGTATTTGGGGCAGTCTTGGTTGTCACCATTTCACTATGTTTCCCAGCACTATCCAACATGACCTGAGTTATCTCTGCAGCATTAGGAGCTCGTGGATTTAAACATACTTAATGTATTTCAGTATATTGCAATTATTATCCTTTCTGATGATCAGACTGTCCTGTGTTTGCCAAATAGGAGTCTGTTCAATCTGTCCTGAGTTTTTTGACACGACCCTTGTAGGTTTGATAGCATAGCATCCACACTTCCCAGTATAAGAAGTTCCAAGCTCATCGTGTACATGTCTCTCAGACTTGAAGACGTCTTGGGACCATTTAATAAAAATGGTGGAGACCACAATATGGGTAGTAGTGAAATGCATTACTACTGGGTTTGGACTTATTTCTAGGCATTTTCCATGGAAAAATTAAAAAGTCTTATTTTAAAAAATACATTGAGTTTACATTGATAATCCAAACTCAAACTGTGAACTAAGGGATTTTACTACACTTTATCAATTTTACGTCTTTATTCATTTCTCCCACACCAAAATCCCCGACTCTCAAAGACAGCAACATCATTTCTCATTTGAGTTATCCCTCACAATAATCTTATCCATTAACAATATAACCTTGGGCTACTTATTTCATGAAAAATGCAAGGAATGAAATTTCTGCTTTTCTGGCTCCACTATGAAAATCTAAGAGCTGCTTTAACTGTAGCCAGCCTGTTCATGTGCAATTACTATGCCATTTTATATCAAAGACTTCAGATTTTAACTTCATAATATTTTAGTAACCCATAATGTCTCAAAACTACAAGAAAGCAGCCCTTATGTGAAAATGAGTCTCTGCTGGGCATGATGGCTTACACCTGTAATCACAGTGTTTTCAGAGGCTGAGGCAGGAGAATTGCTTGAGGCCAGGAGTTTGAGACTAGCCTGGGCAACATAGTGAAACCCTATCTCTACAAAAATAAAAATAAAAACTTAGCCAGTCATGGTGGAGCACACCTATAGTCCCAGCTTCTTGGGAGGCTGAGGTGGGAGGATCATTTGAGCCCAGGAGTCCAGGGCTGCAGTGAGCTATGATTGTGCCACTGCACTCCAGCCTGGGCAACAGAGCGAGAGCCTGTTTCTAAAATAAATACATAAATAAGTTAAAATCTGTACAGTCCTAGAACTAAGGACTAGACTGTAGTCCTCTATTAAGAAGCTTGGTTGATATGCTGCACTTGCCTATATCATAAAAATACAAAACAGGCCAAGTATTCCAGCCTTTGGTAGGCTAAGGCAGGAGGATTGCTTGAGCCCAAGAGGTTGAGCCTACAGTGAGCCATGATTACGCCACTGCACTCCAGCCTGTACGACAGAGCGAACTCCTAAAACAAAACAAAACAAAACGAAAGAGACATAAAGCAGTGTGTTAGTAATTGCATTCCCAAGTCAGTGTTTTTTTGAGCAGCCCTTTGTTTCAATTATTGCTGTTCTTTAAAAATCATCAACCTGCATTTATCTGAATCATTAACTCTTTGATCTGTTGGTGTTCTTACATTTAAAGATACACAGCAACTTAAATATGAATTATCCAAACCCCTTGTAGTAAAGCATAATCTCCACCCACTTCCAACTGCTTATACAGTGCCAATTCCTTATCACCAATTTGTTTTTCCACTGAAAAGTGGAAAAGGATGGAACCTTTTGTCTAACCCAAGTCGCGTTGGACAGACAGTTTGAGAATCTCTGCTGTAAGTTACCATGGCTGGAAGAACCCAGCCCTGAAAATCCAGCACCATTATGTAACACTCATCCATTCCTTTCTGCTTTCTAGTAAATGTTGACTTCCTGGCTAGATTGTAGCTTCATGGGCAGTACCATGAATGACTCACTCTATGACCCTAAGGCTTGGAACTGTAGGTCTGTGAATGCATCAAATAAATGGGGTACATGACATGGTCACAAAACAGTAACACCTTGATTATGACCAAAATTTTAACGAAAGAAATATGGTTTTTAAATGTGCAAAACTCTGTTAAAAGAAGTCATTAGGGTCTGTCACGTCTTCCATACTTGGCCAGCTCCAGGTTCTTAGCTCCTAATCAAGCAAGGTTTTAAAAAGCTCTGGATATAGAAAGCAGTTCTCTACCCCCATACACCTCTGAACCACAAATCCTTGCATTTTAAACATGCCTTTAAGCTTTCAAGCTTTAACATAGTGGTGCCTCATTCTCTAGTGTGGCAGGCAGCTTCCTGTTACTCATGTCCTTGTGTCCCTCTCGAGTGTGGGCTGTGTCTCACTTCTAACAGACTATGGTAAAGTTATGGAATGCCAGTTTTGAGATTAGGTGAAAAGCCTCTGGCTTCCAGCTTGCTCTCTTGCTTGCTCTGATGGAAGCCACCTCCCATGTTGTGAGCTGACCCTTTAAGGCAAGGGCCATGTGGCAAGGAACTGAAGGAGGTGTCTGGCCAACAGCCAGTAAGGCATTGAGACCTCAATCCACAACCCACAAAATTCAACCCACTGAACCCTCCCAGAAACCACTTTGAGTGATCTTGAAAGGCCTGGCAGACCTTGAGATGACTGCAAGTATCACAGCCTCATGAGACACTGAGCCAGAGAACCCAGGTAAGGCATGCCCAGATTCCTTGTTTCAAGCTACTAAGTTTTAAGGTAATTTTTTACATAAATAACACATTTGAGACAAATGAGACATTACTATGCCACAGCCTGAAAACTGTCACAGTTACCTTAGGCAAGTTAATCTATTTTCAAACAGCAAGAGCCTTCCCCACCTCACAGACTAACTGCAATGTCTGTGTGAAGGAATCTGCTCACATACAAAAAAGTGAGCTTCCTTTGAACTCAACACAGAAAATTTTAACAGACTAATTGGTTTACCAATATCTTTCCAGAGGAATTTCAATTGAATTGTTCATAATTTATACTTTTTTATATTGAAAACATTTTTAACTAGTGAAAACAAAGGACACATTCAAAATCAGGTAGAAATCATGTTTCCTTTTAATTGAATACTTAATTCACAATGTTTCCTCTCTTCCTGCTACTCTGGTAATAATTAGGTCCCCACCTCTCAAGAACATTGCACCTGGCCAGACTGAGAGCCAGTGTGAACATGGGCCCCAAACCAGGGCTTTCGGAATAACAAGGAACAGCCAAGCCAGCCTCTCCCTTCACTTAGAAAGGGACTGTGAATGCGAGGGTCCAAATCTTCACCGTCTAAACACAGAAAACCAGGAGCTCAACACCAACATGGAAACCAAAATGTATCAGGAATGAAGTGCAGTACCCCTTCACATACTCAAGGTCAAGATGGGTTTGCAGAAATCGTTATCTGACCATCTGGCCTCTGCTAGTAGATATGGCCCCACCCCAGCATTTTTAAGAGAATATGTTTTTGTTTCTGTTACTTGTATTATTTTCCCCAAGGGGTATAAAATCTACCAAAAGGAATATAATGAATCAGAATAAATCAGCTCACTCACAAGAAACCTTCCTGGGTAATGGTTTTTAGTTGCTGAGCTTATTCAGCACGTTATTTAAAAGTGGCAAAATTCAGGGCAATCTGAGAAGAGAATTCAAAAGTGGCAGCTACAGGTTTAGGTAGGACACACATACATACAACCCCCATTTTTTTCAGTGTATATGTCAAGAGGTCAAGACCCCTGATCATCAAAATAAGTTATTTTGTATATTACAGTGCACAGGACAACAGAGGGAAAGACACTTTCCTGGAAGGTGACAACAAGGCCTTTTTGCAAAAGGTCCACTCCAAAAGGACTGGAGCCCAGTGCCTTGTGGCCTTCATTAACTTGACCCCTCCTCTTCTTTGGTTGCAGTGGCCTCAGTGGGAGCTGTTTCTTCTACTTGTTCTGCTGGCTTCTTCTCCCTTTCCTCTTCCTCATCCTCATCCTCTTGGGGATAGAGGTCTGGGTATTTCTGCATGCATTCCTGCATGGCCCGGAACTGGTCTACACAGTCTGACCCCTTGATCTCCTCCGTGCTATAGTGGAAGCAGGAAAAGGCTGACTTAAACTGTTCTCCACAGGGACCGCTGGCCATTCCCCCAAGGCATGGGCAGTTCCAGTTAATGTTTCCATTTGGCAGTATCAATCCTAGAACAGGAAGATAAGCAAGGACAATGTGAGAGATGTTCTCTAAAGTTTCAGAAAATACAAAACTAGTCCAGTCCTCACAGGCTACTCAGGTGGTGCAAAACAGGAACTATTGTTGCCTATGGACCCACACCTCGATTTGGATTACATTTAAAGCCTAGCACATATCCAGCATTCCTTGGCCCAGCTGGGAGAGAAGCCACCAATGACATCTTTCTCCATGTGTGACACTAGTCTATTCTAAGCCACCTCCCAGTGCTCTGAGGCTGTGCTCCAAGAATTAAATACCGGGACCCATCTAACCCAAAGAGGAGGAGATCACTTGAATGGTTAGTGAAGAGCTTTTTGAAAGCCCAAACACTTTAAGGAACCGAGGTATTGATCTCCTCTTTCTAATCCCCCTCCTCATATGGATGGTCAGGACCACCCCACCCCCCATGCTCCCTGCCCCTTGAACCCAGCTTGCCCTGCAGCTGCTCTCAGAAGCTCAGCATAGCCTGGGGAGTGGTGAAGAGGAGGAGGTTGCTCCTTATGTACTGATGAGGAAAGATGTCCAAGACATGCGGCACAATGAGAAGCTGGTGGCCTACCATTAGTGTGAGTGCATTCTTGTGAAAATCAACCAAACTGTTAAACTGCACATATGTGTTGGGGAGGAAACAAGGTTATAAATGGGTTTTCATTTTCACTATTATTAGTAGGCCTCTTACTTTTGACTTTTATACCTTTTCTTATCACTGAACTTTATTCACATCTAAATAGTATTTCTTGGTTTTCCAAAATGCTCTCAAAATGATGGCTTCATTTTCAGCTTTGCGACAGACATATCATTCATATAGAAGTTTCTTACATGAGTCTTATTAAGAGACTGAAAGTACTTTCTAAGAGAGCCTCTAAAATGTCCTGTGAAATTACACATGATTCTTCACTCCAGGGCAATACCGAGGCCTGGCGCACTGCACTAATGTCCAAAGTCCTAGACGAAACCCCGCCTGCCTCTCAGTTCCAGCTTGGGAAGCTCCACTGACCAATGGATCTGCTGTAGCTATTCCTGTCCTTTACTTGTAAAATGGGGATAGCATGGACGATGCCAACTAGTGCTGCCCCCTTAGCAGGCAGCAGACCCCCAGGACCATCAGCAGGTGCAGATCAAGTTCTCCTGCATTAAGTTATGCTTGGTAACTCACATAAGCCTTCTGACAACCTTCTGCAGTGGGTGCTACTAACCCCAGTTTGCATACGCAGTCTCTGGGGCTCATGGTCCAAGTGAGGACTGCAGACTGAGCTGGCAGGATTCCCAGAGCCATGCCCCTTCCCCTACATCTCACTGCTTCTTGACAGGGACCTCAGTGTTGGAAAAACATTTGCAAATGCTACCCCCTGGAGTTTCAAATCTGCTCACAAACCTGCATAACCAGTTTCCAAGAGATAATACTGACATTTAAAAATTACAACCCAGTGCAAATTGACCAGGTGGTTGATCAAAAATAACAAAAAAAATTATATCCTAGGTCTCCAGGAGTCCTTATTTCATTATTTCTTAGGGGCAGGTGAGCTGGAATGAGATACTTCCTCACAAAGCACATGGTGCCAATCTGCATTTCAGGAACACAATATAAATCCACACAGAGGGTACCTTTGGCATGTTACATAAAGCTCAGATGCAGTGTGTTGTCAAACATGCAGTCTAAGGCCTGAGGTTCCAGTCTCTGGCTGAGTCTGTCTCCGCCCCCTCCTGGGTCCCCAGTTTTCTCATTGGATCAGATGATCTTTAAGGCCCTCTTGATGTTCTGATTCTAGGAAAATTACTTCTGCCACCTTTTTTTCTTGGTACTCTTAGCTATTACAAGCACCATCTCAGCTGCACAGCTGGGTGCTGGAAGGCAGGTAGATGGCATAAAATGGTGACTTACTTGGCCCACTTAGTAATTTTGCAGTTAAGAGGTTGAAACCTGGGTCCCAGAGTTCTTTGTGTTTTATATGCTGCTTTGTACAAAGTATCACTATAAGGGGCTGCAAAGCTAAATGCATCATATGGGATACCTACAATCCAAGCAGACACACTGCAAGTGACAGAAGCAGGTAAAAAAACAACAGGGACAGTAAAGAATGGTGGGATCTGGAGGGAGCAGCCCAGTCTAAAGGCAGATACATTCAGTTTTTAATAACACTGTGAGGCAAACAAAACAAGGCCCAACTTGTACTGCAGGCCTCCATAGTCTTGATCAATTAATGAAATGTGCTTAATATGGATCTAAAGATAAGCAAGGTACTAGAATTGACATGTAAGTCCTGATCAAGATTACCCTTGCAGCTGTCTTTCTCAGAATGCTAACACTTTGCATAATGTCTGCATTTCCCGCTGCTCCCACTGGGTGCTGGATATATACTTTATGCTTTGACCCCTAGGATCAGTCAGGGCAACAAGTAAAGGGTCCTACAGAAGGAATAGACACATCAGTTAGCATTTGAGAAATTCCAATCAGGAACCCATATTCCCGATGCGGCTGCTTCATGCTCTTCAATTACCAATTAGCACTAGAAGGTTAGTTGTCATCATGGACACTAGAAGTGGTTTTTGATTGGTGAACTGAGTACTGTACAATACGTAGATTGTTCATGGATACCGCACACACACATCCACCGCACACAGGCTGCAGTAGTAAGTATCTAGTGAGTTTAGCAGCCCAAAACTTTTGGAACAATGTCCTAGGCCTAAGCAACCACTGTTATATTCAGCCATTAACCAAGGAGTGTGCAACAGCTCTGACTAGGTTAGTTGAATCCTGCTGCTGGAAAGCTGTCTATGTCAAGTGACCTTTTCATGTAAGGTGCTTGCTGGAGCAGTTAGAGAGAGCAGGGACTTCACCAACCTTACAGAACAAGGTACATGACTGTCTACTTGCTAATCAAGTTGCTAGATGTGGCAGAATTCAGTCTGGCAACTTGTCTGAGCATGAGCCCTGTCACCTTAACCTACCTATAACTGCTGGAATCTACTAACACCCTCTCCCAAAACTTAACTGTTGTGCCAGGGAAGTACATCAGAACAAGGTTGGCAAGCACAGTCCCTCAAACCTCCAAGGAAGATAAACCACTGCCCTCAGAGATAGTCTATGGCTGAGAATAGATACCTGAAAACTCGGCCTTGGCTAGGAAAACATGGGAAAGGAATTAAGAACACTGAGGTTCCCCCCAGTGCCCTGATGTGGGAGGCCCCATGTCACTCACCGTGCTCCTCGTATGGATCATTGGGGTCATCGGCCACCAGTTCTGCATTGCTTGGAGTTTCATGATCTTCTTTGGTTACAAATATGATTCGATCCTTCCCTAGTGTTTGGAGAACACAGGAAGAAATGTTTCATTCAAGAGCAGTGAGTCAGCTTTAAACCCAAAGCAGTCGCCATACAAACCAAGTTTGAAGACTGTCCCATATGCCATCCCTACGTGAGGTGACCATCAAACTGCTCTCATATGCTACAGGTAGGAAACAAAAGGGGATGGATGAGGGGCAGGGCAGGAAAAAAAGCACTCAAGAAAGTGTCCTAGGGGCTTACCCACAGGGTTCAGAATACATAAAAAGTTGGAGGAAGACTGAGCACACTGGCAAAGTGAGTGTGCAGTGATGTGGGTCCTCAGCCTACAGATCACTACAGCCCACACAGCTGATGTACCCACAGGCCCCTGCCTCTGAAAGGCTGAGGACACGGGCAGTCTGAGAGTGCCCACAGTCAGCACCCCCACTAGGCCTCAGGGCTCCTAATCGTGGCCGGAAGAAGAAAGGGTCATGAAGGTGAGGAACACTGCAGCCCTTCCATTCCCCACAGTCCGAGAGGCCTGGGGACCATTTCCCAACAAGGATAACAACTGGAGGGGGACAGGAGGAAAAGCACTTCTCAGATCTTTTTAACTGTGACCATCTGCAGTTGATTTTTTTAGGACAAACCCCACAGTGGTTAGGGTCAGGACTGTGGTCCTGTGAGGACCAGCATGGGAAAGTCAGCAGGCCTAAAGTGCAGAGCACCTTGTTCAAAACCAGAGCCCTCACCCTGGGGCCTGGCTGCTGGAAGGTCTGAGGACTACAGGAAAACAGACCAGTGAGAGTCAAATGCATTTTATATTAGGAGCTTCTCCTCACTGGAGGCTGGGTGAGCACAGAAAAGCATATCAGTCCTGGCCAAACCAGGGTGGGTGCATTAACTGCCTTACAGTGACCCCCTATGAAGTATTATCACGCTCAGCCCCCATCGAGTACAGGAGAAAACCAAGGCTGAGTGGCTATGTAAGCAGAAGGTAGGTCCTTACAGCCCTCTCCACTACACCTTGTAGCTGTCAACACTTTACCTCACCTTCCTAAAAACTTCGGCCATCAGCTAACCACACCACAGGTATGCGTCAGATATTCTCATTGTGGGCAAGAAGCACCTTGTCCTCAGTACCCCACGCTGCATGGTGGATCATCAGTTTCTCCAGCAGTACCCAGAGAACAGACAGAGCCAGTCCATCTCTTGGTCCTCCGTGTGAGTTCATTCCTCCATCCTATCGCCACCCTGAGAGGGAGGTGACAGCACCCCCTTTTAATGGTGGTGAGCCTGAGGCTCTGAGTAGTGACTTGCTGGACCACACAGGACAGGATTCTTTGAAGTCTACACTGTTGGAGATCCTTTCTACACACCCATACTGCCCCGCACCAACATCTGCACAAGAATAATGATAGCTGACACTGAGCACTTAGCATGACTAGGCACTGCCTGAGAGCTTGTGCACCTTGGGCAATGAATAAACACAATAAAATCTGACCCAACCCCTGCCTCAAAAAGCTTAGAATCAAGTGAAATGTTTGCCAAGTAAACAAACAAGATCTTTCTTGTACCTTCCTGGTGAAGATGAATGACAAATTCTACAGAGCAACTGACCATGCATTCTAATCCCAGGAGATCTGGGGTACAGGGATCCTCATCTGGAAGGGGATAGGAGGTGCTATGCATTTAAGAAGACTTCTTCAGCTACGGCCAAAAGTGCGTGGCTCTGAGTGAGTGGCTACTGTGGGCACAGAGGCCTGACCTGCAGAAACGTGGCTCTGTGAAAGCTGCAGGCATTTCTGATTACTTTATACTTTTTGTTTTCTCTTTATATTTAGAAAAGTTCGGTCACAGGTATGCTGAGGGGAAAGCAAGGAAAAAGGCTTGGGCCCATGCTTGGACTGATGTAATTAAGGAAGAGGCTTCTGGAAGGCAGGGGGCAGTGACAACAAAAACTGAGCGACATCTCCAGTGAGAAGGACAGTTCAGGGGACAGAGGGAGGGCACTTTGGTGCCTTACGCCATGCCCACACTGCACAGGGTCTCTTACGCTAGGACAGAGTAACAACAAAAAAACCTCAGCACACACAGGGCCAGGACCCCCAACACACTGGAGGTTTCTGCTCCCAGAGATGGTCTCTGCCACAACACCTTGCATGTCATCCAACAGAAGACTGCTTTTCCCCTGTGGCTGACTTGGGAAAGCTTTTGGACCAGGCAGCCAGGACTTGTTAAAGTACCTAGTAATCTTGGTAATTCTGGCCAGTTTCCAAAATACTCAAAAGCAATCTGTAAAAATGGTGAACGCTAAGTACAATGAGCTGATGCAAATTTCGCAACTCAGCTCTGGCAGTTTTGTTGACCAAGATGGCAGCTCAGCACAGCCCAATGGTGAGGCCCAGCCATAGGCACACAAAGCAAAGGGTCCAAATGTGGTAAAGTATGAGGCCTTCCTGGGGTTTGCCATACATAGAGAGACCAGGCCTCACCCAAGAAAAGCTGAATCGAGCTCTCTGCCACATCCATGTAGCTCACGGGCTTCACAGGTGACTGATACACAGCCAGGTTAGGAAACACCAGCCTAGCACAATCCCACTGAGAATTCCAGGTCCCTCCCACTGGGCCAAGTCCTCACATGTGCCTTCCTGGACATTTTCCCTTGCAGCACAGTTCACACTGGATTGAAGGTAGAACAGTAATAGCTGCATCTTTTATACATTTTTGTCCCATGCAATGTGTTTTATTATATCTGTGAGTTCACTGGTGGGTATTACTTTATCTCCATTTTACAGAAACCACAGGAGCTGAGAAACGGACCAAAAGACATGCAGAACAGGAACTCTGGTCTGAAAGATCCAGAGTGTGTCTCCTGCAAACTGTCCATTGCATGCCTGTCCTGCAGGGCCTCTGCTTTCTGGAACATTTAAAACTCAATTCAAGAACCGATGCAAGGACAAGGCTTACCTATTCCTAACAAATCTAAGTGTGAAAGAAAGAACTGGTCAGACTAGTCATAAGATGCCAACCAGTGGGACAATCAGCTAGACAAGTAGTTCTTATGACATTTCTCAGCAATTTCTCCAGAAAAATAAAATTAAAAGTGCTTGTGTTTTTATTTCTAAGATAAGCTTTAAAAGCAGTTGAATATGCATGTTCTGAAGGAGGTGGATAACTATGTTAAACCTTCTGGCTCACAGTGGCTTCAATATCACAGAGAGTCTGAGAACTGGAGTTCAAAGCTGGACTTAAGCACTTCCCACTGTGTGAGCTCAGGTACCCTCTGGGCCTCAGAAACCAGGCCTTACCACCAGCTTCACTGACCTACCTCACATGGTTGGGGAGGTGAAATGTGTTTCTGCTGTTAGCTAGAATCCCACTCAACAGTAAGTTTTAAAGGGTACGTGGCCAGGAAAAGAGACAATCACAGGCTCAGAGATGTCAATAATATCTTGGAAATGGGAGAGCTGATGGTCGAGTGCTCTCTGACTTAACCAGTGAAGAAAGCTGAACCCAAAGTGCACAAGGAGGAGGTCCCCCAGAATCAACTCAGTCCCCACCCCAGAACCTTGGTCAGAGTGGGGAACTGGAGGCCCGAGGGGTTACTCTGTGAACAGGACTTCAGGGTGGGGCTGAGAACAGAACTGACTGAGCAGTCGGATACCAAGACACCTTCCACCCTCAGCTGTTTAGTTTTACTTTTGGTAGAGCCACCCCAACCCGTCTTTCTCTCACATCTCCATCAGCATATTAGAATGGCTCGATCTTCAAATATATCCAGAAAGAGCTGCATCTCTCACCTCCTGGACCCCATCTCCCACCATCATTCCCTCCACTCCAGCCATGCTGACCTCTGCTTTTACTTGAACATGCTGAGCACATGCCTACCTCTGGCTTTTGCACAGGGTATTCTGTCCTCCACGAGCACTTTCCCTTCCCTCAGGTACCCTCACAGCGATTTCTCCCTGCTTTCACTTCCTGCTCACATGCCACCGTCCCTGACCACTGCCCATCTCCCTTCCTGCTTTTTTATCTTTCTCCAAAGTGCTTTTCTTCACCCAACATACTATGTATGTTTACCACTTGATGCCCCCACTGGAATGTCAGCTCCTCAGAGGCAGCGATTTTTGTCTATTCTGTTCATTGCAGTATCCTGAGAGCCCAGAATAGTGCCAATGACAAAGTGGGTGTTCAATATTTGTTGAAAAAAGTGAATGGAGAAACAACTCTGGATTACGGCATGAAGACCCTAGTGTAAGAATTAAAGAAAGAGGAGAGAAACACGAACGGTGGCTTTTCAGTCAACAGGGACAGGTTTATTTTAAACAAACCTGAGGTGGGCTGCTGGCTGAGTTAGGTCAGAGCCACATTCTCTTACAGACTAAGAGTTTTTAAGGATTCAGGGTGAGAGAGTTTATCAGAGGCTTGGACTGCTTCTGTGTCTCTTTATTGTGCTCATCTGGGAGGCAGAGTTGTATGTCTGTTTCCACACATCTTTCTGCAGCTGCAGGCATATCCCCCCCAGGACTGCTTTTAGCTTCCCTATCTTAGTGCACCTGAAGGGAAAGGAATGTTCTTATTAAGGCCCACAGTTTTACTGGGGTCCACTGTATGAGGGTGAAGTTTGGCAGTTACCCAAGAGACTTTCCCCCACCTCCCTCTATGACCGAGGTGTCTTATCTGTGTTTTACTGTCTGCTCTTCCTGGCTGCTTGTAGTTAGAAGTGATTTCCTTGAAATGCATGAGGCTAGAAAGGGAGCTGGAACTTAAAGTGCCAGTGTTTGTCCGAGATGACGCTACTCCTGCTCTGTCACCCAGTCCCAGCAGAAAGCAGGAAGACAGAATGGTTATCACCATTGAGCAAAACCAAAAAATCCCTTGGATGAGTAGTTTGATTTCCCCCATGAAAGGGGAAGATCTTTATAGGCAAGAATCTCTCAGCATATCCACTCCAGAAGGAATGCCCGTGTGTCCTGCAGAGGAAGCAGTTTCTTGTCTCCCATGGATGCTGACTCACCAGGATCATGTTTGAGAATGGCAACCTGCACTACGGACTTGTCTTCTTTCATTTTTGGCTAAGCTGATTCAATACACCTGTGATACAATTCCAACCACTACTTTCTGACACTCAACCCAAGAAAGAGATCTAAAGCCAGAGGGAGTGGTGCCTGTGGTATATTTTGAGTGAGTAAAGTAAGGGGTTTCTAAGAGTTTGATAAATCTGACTGCTGAGGACTTTCATGTTTAGAATCTAACCCCTTTGAAAGATATAACTCCCGCGTACAGAATCAAGTATCTGTGAAGAACACACAAATAGCTTTCAGACAGAGTGTAAGAAGAATGCAAGTGTTAGAAGTTTAGCTCAACAAACCTTCCTTAGCTCCAGCTCTGTGGTAGTACCTGGTGGTCACAGATGAATACGACACAGGCATCCAGTGGAGAAGACGGAAGGGGAGGGATCCTACCTTTGTCCCTGACAAAGAACTTCAGGGAGGGAAGGAGGGAATAGACATTCCAGAAGGGACCATCCTGGGCAAAGCCTGGAGTGCAAAAGGAGGGTTTTAAGTAGTGTTCGCTCACACACATTGAGGACTGCAAAAGGTTTTCTTAAGAAAACTGGCATTTAAAAGGATCTCTGAAGCCTCAGGAAGCCTTCTCAGACCCCACAGAGCCGTTCACTAAATGATCATAGCATGCTGGGCTTTCCCTTCATGTCACTTATGACAGTCTGTAATCATGCATTGGTCTGGTGATGTTTTAATGGCAATCTCTTCCACCATGCCAGGAAGGCAGAGAATGTGTCACATTGCTCACCACTATATGCCCAATGGCTGGCACATCACATGTGCTTTATAAATGTTGACTAAACACGAGTGGGCAGGCTCTGCATTAGAAAGAGGAAACTAAGAAAGAAACACTATGGTGCTGACACACAGAAGTGTGGCTAGCCCAAGGCCAGGGAGCCAGGATGAGAGCCCTCGAATGCCAAACCAAGGAGTTTAACCTGAAGGCTGGGTAGCAGGTGGACCCCTGAAATAAACTTGCACAGGCAAGTGATTCACTCAGGACAGAGGGCAGGTACACGCATGATTCAATAAAGATTTGGGCACCATTGTACACCAGGCCCTGTGCCAGATGCTGGGGATTCCACAGCCCATCTGATGCTCTCAGCTTAGTGGGAGAAGACAGGCAGGAAGATGGCAAAAAATAAAAAAGGTAATTTCAGAGAGTTCAGGATGTGAAAGACACAAAGGGTCAGGAGGCTAAATTTTAAAGGATGAGGAGTCAGCCATGGAAGAGGTGAAGGCAGGATCTACCAAACCAAGGGTATAGCGAAGAGGTTAGAGGCTGGGCAACAAAAAGGTGGGAAGAGACCAGGCTGGAAAGGCAGACAGGGCCAGATCACATAAGCTCTGATACGGTAAGGAGTTTGGGATCATTTTTTTAAAAATCCTATGGGAAGCATAAAGGATCAGTGGGCAAAAAAAAAAAAAAAAATGTTAGGGACTTCTTAGGGGGACAGTGGTATGGATAAGAAAAATACTAAGGAAGGCCTATAAGTGAGTGCTTTCAATTCTCACTCATCTCCTAAGAGAGATCTTTGAACCAGGAAAAGATAAGGGCTCCATGTTTTTTTTTTTTTTTTTGAGACGGAGTCTCGCTCTGTCGCCCAGGCTGGAGTGCAGTGGCCAGATCTCAGCTCACTGCAAGCTCCGCCTCCCGGGTTTACGCCATTCTCCTGCCTCAGCCTCCGGAGTAGCTGGGACTACAGGCGCCCGCCACCTCGCCCGGCTAGTTTTTTGTATTTTTAGTAGAGACGGGGTTTCACGGTGTTAGCCAGGATGGTCTCGATCTCCTGACCTCGTGATCCGCCCGTCTCGGCCTCCCAAAGTGCTGGGATTACAGGCTTGAGCCACCGCGCCCAGCCAAGGGCTCCATGTTTTGAAGGCAGATGGACCTAGCCTCCCTTTCCAGAGAAAACTGCCTCCTGTAAATCCTCAAAGAGAAGGAGGGTTTTGTTTATCAGCACAGCCTCATTATACCCAAAGGCTCAAAAATTATTTGCTAAATGAAGTAAATTAGAGAGAGACTTGAAATTAAAAACAACAGTGGTGAGGGCAGAGGACTTTTGCTTACGGCACACATTAAGTAGTAATCAGCGGAAATATAATAGTACTCATTAAAGAGTGAGTCTTATGGCTTTACAACCCAGAGGAGGAGAGGTTCTAGAAGCAGACAGGGCTACTAGGGAAAAGGCTCAGCATTTTAGGCTGAGCTATGCTCCTAACTGGATGTGTAACTAAGGTAGGCCACCTCCTTCTCTGGGCTTCAGATTGCTTGAATTAACTGATGGAGCTGGAGTATTCACCAAAGAATTTCTGGGTGACTTCCAACTCTCTCTGTAGCTTTATAACCATCCATCCCCCTTCTCTGGAGCAGAGAAGATGCTTCATGAATATTTGCTGTATCAGTGAAGCCCAACATCTCATTTTACAACACTGGAAACCAGGGCCTGGAGGGGTTAGGTAGGAGCTTAGGGCCAAGGAGTCAGTTTGTGGCAGTGTGTGGGGAGGCCCTCCGACCTGTGGCTTGGGTACTTCTGAGCTCTTGGGTAGAGTAACATCAAGGAAGCATTAGGTGGTTGGAGCTCAACTTTGGGGTGGGAGGTAGGCAGGGTTCTCCCTGCAATCCACTGGGCACTAGATTGGAAAAGGCTGTTCTGGGGTCACAATGCCCAGGCTCAAACCCCGGTTCCACGATTTGCTGGCTGAGTGGCTTTAGCCAAGTCTCCGGTGTCAGACTTTACTCTTCAGTAAAATGTGACCAGTAACAGAGTCTGACTTACAAAGGGCGCAGCGAGATCAATGAGACAAGCCACGTAAGTTTCCTTGAACAGTGCCTGATAGGTAGCAGGGGGCTCAAAAACATTCCCGTTAGTAGAACTCCTAGCACAACTCCTAGCACCCCAGCACAGCACACGCTACCCCCAGTAGCAACTTTTCGGGACCCGCCTTTTAAAGGCGCGTGCAAAATGGCAACACGTGGGGTATGGCAGGAGCGGTAGTAATAATTAACATACATTCCCAGTTACGAGCCACACGCAACGTGCTCGGCATTTCCCGTGCCCCAACCCGGCCTAGTTTACGACTTCCCACGCACAGGCCCCTCTGAGGTCAGGGTTCGGGCTTCACTGTGACCTTGGACCAGTCCCGTTCCCCCGAGAGCTTCGGTTTTCTCATTCGCAAAACACGAGTGGCGACCCCCCAGCCTGCCCGCCTCCGAGTGTCCCAGGGTGGGCAACCGGGCCGCGCCTCGGGTGGCCCGCGCCTGCGGCGTGGTAGCGGGGCGCCGGGGCCCTCGTGTCTCCCGCAGGCCCTCGTAGGCCGGTCTCCATGGCAGCCCGCCCTCCCTACCTTCCTGCCGGCAATAGGACATGGCTGCAGCCCGTCCCTGAGACCTTGCAGAAGCGGCAGTGGCGGTAGCTGCAGCTTTACGCCGTGACCTCCTCTCCTCAGGCAGGGCGGGCGCCTCCGAAGCCCGCGCGGACCCGCCCCCTCCAGGCCTGCCCGCCGCGCGCCTGCCTCGGCGCCCTCTTAACCGCGGCCAGGCCCACCTCAGCCGGAAACTACATTTCCCAGCAGGTCGCGAGCCCCACAGCAGCTCGCCAGGCAGTAGAAACTACATTTCCCAGAAAGCTTTGCAGTGCGCAGGCGCATCAATGAGGTACTGTAATGTCCCTGACCCGTTTCCAGGTCTCGCCGCGCGCATGCGCAGAAACACTGGGCACACGGGGCGGTAACTGCAGTAAGTCCCGCCTGGTCTTGGAGTCCACGCGGATTTTCGAAGCTGGGGCTGGCAAGAGGCCGCTGGACTCCGCGCTCCAGTCGTCAGCCCACTTCCTAGCTGAACAGCGCGAGGCGGCGGCAGCGAGCCGGGTCCCACCATGGCCGCGAATGTGAGTGTCCCCTGGCCAGCCGGGCCACACCCAGGCTTCTCCGTCGCCCTGGGGCTCTTCCCCGGGGCCCTCTGGGTCCGTTTCGCCGTCTGGAGCTCCTCCCTGCGGCTGGGCCCGCATCTCCCTCTGCGCGCCGTGTCGGTGCCTTCGCCAGCTCATCCCTCTGTTAATCTCTCGACCCGTCCAGACTTCTTTTGTCCGTGTTCTTTGGTCCGCCTAGTCCTCGGCGTTCGTGCGGAGGCGGACTCGGAGGTGTTGCTCCCGCACTACGATCTGCTTGTACGCCTCTCCGCGGCTCCTCCTTGCATTCCTAGTTCCCTCCTGTATCTTGGGGCCCTGAAGCCGTCCCAAGGTTGCGCATTATGAGAGCTGGACGGGAGCTCAGAGAGGGGGCCATTCCCTTGGGAGGGAGGAAGGCGACCCAGCCCAAGTGGAGCTGTCCAGCAATGGACGGATAGGGCTGTCCAGGCGGGCAGAGAGCTCCCCGCTCTAGGGAGGCTGTGTAAACCGAGGCTGTGATGCTGCAAAAAGCTTAGGCTGGGCTGGGAGCGAAGTTAGGGGGAGAGGGAGCATTTCTCTACTGTCGGGGCCCCTCCTCCTCCTAGCAAGGATTTGGTTGGAGAAGGCCTGGCTGAGGGCTGTTCCTTCAAGGCCTCTTCTCCCTGCAACTAGCCTTTCTCGGGAAACTATTTAAGCCCAACATTCATTCAGCACACCAAGCAGCGCCTCCTACCAGGGCGCTGGATGTGGGAGAAGCTGGTGACTCACTTCTCCCCTCCTCTGTGAAAGTGCTTCTAGGGCCTGCTTAGGAGCCCAGCCAGCCCCAGACACACCCTCCCTCCTGCTTTGGTAGAGTCCTAGCAGCTCTCCCCTTGCCTGTCACACCCTATTTCCAGACGCCGCCTCTGTCCCCAAGCGTCCTCTCTGCCTCCCACACCCCTTGAGAGGCCAGGGTGTGCATCACCCACAGTCCTAGTACACTCTGTCTCGGGTTAGTATCATCTACACTCCCAGGACACTTTGGGCCCACAGGAGGGTTAGAAGCCTTGAATGGTGTACCTAGAAAGGCCTCAGAGGTATTCCGAGAGACTCAGGCTCGGCCAGGAGAGAGGGCAGACAGGAGACCAGCCTGTTTGTAGTATGTGGACTCTGTCTGCTCCCATCACCACCACCACCATATTTTACAGATGGTGAACTTCCCCAGCAGGGGAAGGTACCTGCCCAAACTCTTGTGGCCAGCTTGGCATGCTGCAAAGGGCAGGCTTTGGAGTTAGGGAGACCTGGGGGCAATCCAGATTCTTCCACCCAGTAGATGTGTGGCTTTCATCTCTCCAGGTTTATGTAGCCTCATGGATCAGTTACTGTGACATTTAAGGGAGACTGCTTAGCACAGTGCCTGGTGTGTCGTAGGTACCTAATACTTGAAAACTAGCCTGTCATTGCAGAGGGGAGCACAGATGGTCCCAGTGAATAGAGATCGTCTTGGGTACATTGAGACCTGGCCCCTCACCAAGGAACATACATGCATTTGAGTATCCTCTGCTGCCAAGCATTTGTTGATTCATCCAGTAGCTGGGTATACATTTACAGCAGCCACTAGGCTGGGTGAGGAAGAAGATAGTGGGATGGAGTAGGGAGGCAACAGAATTCTCAATCAGTATAGCAGCAGCAGTACCGATGGTGAAGGTACTATTCCCCTCTCTATAAGTGAGCAAACAGAATCAGAGAGGTAGAGCAATTTACCCAGGCTTCACAGCAAGTGATTGGTGAACCTGGGCATCGAACCCAGTTCTGTTCATTTCCAGGGCTTATGTGTCAGCCTCTGTTCCCACCACTCATTGCTCATTT